ATGGCTGTGAAGGTGCTGTCGCTGCTGCCGCCGTTGTTGCTGGCCGCGGCGGGGCTCGCTGGCCTCCTGCTGCTGTGCGTCCCCACCCGCGACGTCCGGGAGCCGCCCTCTCTCAAGGTGCATGCTCAGGCACCCCGGCTCCCTGCGCCGTGCGGAGAGCAGCCGGGCATGGGGCCGGAGAGCCGGGCGGGGAGGCTCGGAGCCCGCGCGGCTGCCCTAGACCCCAACCCGCGCTCGGCTCCGGGCTCGGCCGGGTGGGGTCCCGGCCCCATGTGCTCCTCTCCTGTCCCGGGCCCACGGGGCGGCGGCAGAGCTTCCGGGGCGCCGCGGTGCTGGAGACCGAAGTCCCTGGAACTCCCTGGTCGCGGAGCCTGTCACGTCACGGGCGCGGCCCAGGGGTTGTCTCTCTGCTCCCCGGATGCAATCCTTGGACGCCCCAGGCCCCAGGCCGCAGCGGGACGGGCGTGGCCCCCGGGGGCGCATCGCTAGGGGTTGGGACCCGACTGTGTGCATCAGGGGCCGGGGCCCAGGGAACCTGCCCCACCTGCCCGTGGTGGTCCAAGCAGAGCCCGTGTGCCCTTGAGGAGAGGCGGGCAAGGTGGGAGGGTTGGGGCCGGCAGTGGCAGCGTGTGCTGGTCCTAAACGGTTGGGGGTGGGCTAGGCCAGGGTGGCCTCCAGGAGTCCAGCTGGCTCCCTTAACCCTTTACTGACTGGGGGAGTGGGGTAGGGGAAGGCTTGGGGTGTGTGTGGGGGGGGATGCTCCAAGCCCTGGGAGCCCAGGATGGGAGCTCACAGGGGCGGCTGCTCTATAGCCAAGGGCCACCGCCGGCAGGGGTGGGGCGAGTGGACTCGTTGGCCTGCTGATCCCGGAGTTCCCTGGTAGGGGGAGGGCTGGCATGGCCCCTTCGCCAGGGCTCAGGAGGACATGTTCTTCAGCCGTGCTCTCGCTATGGGAATCCAGGCCCTTGGGGGTGGGTGCCGGAAAGTGGCCCTTGTAAACTGGGTGCTGCCCTCACCGGCCAGCGCCCCACCCCTCTGTAGGACAGAGCTCCCGGCCCAGGCTCTGAGATGCAGGGGAGGGGCGTCTTCAGGCAGGGCCAGCGTGGATCACAGCCCGCACTCAACCTCTCCCAGCCTGTCCCCAGGGCGCCGACTTACACATTCTCAGGTCGGGCTGACGTCAGAGACATCGGGACGGAGCGGAAGGGAGAGCTGGCCCAAGAGTGTCCCTCCTGCAGCTGGGCTTCAGTCCCAGAGCCCGGGGACCTCGTGTCCCCAGGACCAGGTTCCAAGGGTGGTCCTGGGACTCTGCTGTTGACACAGCCCCTCAGCTCGTCCTTGCTAGGTTGGCTCCTGCCCATCTACCCCTGTTCCCATTCTCCCCGCTGACCGAGCTGTGTCACTGGGGCTGTCTCAGGACTTCCAACCTTGCCACAGGGCGAGGTGGGGCGAAAGGCCAGAGGGGGGTGACGGGGCAAAGGGCATGGCCTTCATGCCACCGCCCCTTCCCCAGAGGGTAATCCCCACTGTCACCCTCAGTATGGCATCGTCCTGGACGCTGGCTCTTCCCACACGTCCATGTTCATCTACAAGTGGCCGGCAGACAAGGAGAATGACACAGGCATCGTGGGCCAGCATAGCTCCTGTGATGTGCGCGGTGAGTGCGAGGCACCCCTGGCCTGGGTACACACCCCCCTGGCCCTTGGGGGGCTGTTGGCACTTTCATTCTAGAAAGGAAGCCCAGGCAGTAGTTGGAAGGTTTGGGCCTTGCCTGGCCTGGGACCGGCTTCTACCGCCCAGATAGAGCAGGAGGGGCTCCAAGGGGCTGGTGGGCACACCCAGGCAGGATCCCCAGGGGCTAGGCCAGCGGGGCCATGCCCAGTGCTTTATCCTGGCACCTGCGCACACACCCACCGCACGGGAGGCAGCCTCAGAGACTCTGGGTGGCACGCAGGTGGGCCCCTTTGTCTGTCTCTGAACTGGGCGTCTCTGAGGCCTTAAGCTGGGAAGGTGTGTCTAAGCGGCCACCTGGTTTGGGAGCCCAAGCCCCCAGCCCTTTTGTCCTGCGGCCCCTGGAGGCTGCCGGCGGGGCCTCGACCGCTCTCACTGCCTCCCTCTAGGGGGCGGCATTTCCAGCTACGCAGACAACCCTCCCGGTGCCGGCCAGAGTCTGGTCGAATGCCTGGAGCAGGCACTTCGGGACGTGCCCAAGGAGAGACACGTGGGCACACCCCTCTACCTGGGAGCCACAGCAGGCATGCGCCTGCTCAAGTGAGTGTGCCTGTCCCCCAACCTTCCAGGCTCTGGGATCCCACACACCCTCAGCGGAAGCCCTGGGCTGGGACTTCCTTGGCTGGCCAGGCAGATACCGTATACCTCAGCAGCCGGCTCCCGGCCACCTGGGAAGAGCCCCTCACAGTCCTCTCTGTATCACAGCCTGACCAGTCCAGAGGCCTCGGCCGATGTGCTCGCGGCTGTGACGCGGACGCTGATGCAGTACCCCTTTGACTTCCGTGGTGCCCGCATCCTCTCGGGCCAAGACGAGGGGGTGTTTGGCTGGGTGACCACCAACTACCTCCTGGAGAACTTTATCAAGGTGGGCCTGCCGGCCAGCCCAGGGAGCCAGGGGTGTGGGCACCCATCCACGGGGTGACCCCAACCTCCACTCCTTACAGTATGGCTGGGCAGGCCGGTGGTTCCGGCCAAGGAAGGGGACCCTGGGGGCCATGGACCTGGGAGGCGCCTCCACACAGATCACCTTCGAGACGGCCAGCCCAGCTGAGGATCCAGCCAACGAGGTCCAGCTGCGGCTCTACGGCCAGCTCTACCGCGTCTACACCCACAGCTTCCTCTGCTACGGCCGCGACCAGGTCCTCCAGAGGCTGCTGGCCAGTGCCCTGCAGGTGCCCCCCAACCCCAGCCACCTGCACCACTGTGCCTTCTTGGAGGGAGGGTCAAAACGGGATGTGGGCCAAGGGCACAGAGCAGAGCCTGGGCAGCAGCCATGCTGAGGGCTGTTCCAGGCAGCAGGAACCATTCGCTTTCATCAGCTGGCGGGACAGGATCCGGCGTGGGCCAAGGCCCAGTGGCTGGGGGTGAGTGCCAGGCTGGGGACAGAGGAGGGCCAGAGCCCGATCTCAGAGAACCTGCAATGCCTGGCTGCAGGCTTTGGGTTTGTCCAGCAGGCAGCGGGGAGCCGGGGACTGTTGCTAAGCACAGAGGTGATAGCACCAAGGGGCGCTTGTGGGAGGTGCCCCAGGCCGGTCCTCCACAGGCGCTCCACGGGTCCTAGGGTGAGGGCGGGGGCAGTGCTTGAAGTGGGGGTGGTGCAACCAACGCCCTCATGATTCCCCCAGACCCACAGCTTCCACCCCTGCTGGCCAAGGGGCTATTCCACGCAAGTGCTGCTCCGGGACCTGTATGCGTCGCCATGTACTGCAGCCCAGCGGCCCCAGACCTTCAACGGCAGCCACAGGGTCCGCCTGGCGGGGGGCAGCGACCCGGCCCTCTGCCGTGGCCTCGTTTCCGGCCTCTTCAACTTCTCCTCCTGCCGCTTCTCCCGATGCTCCTTCAACGGCATCTTCCAGCCCCCCGTGTCTGGGGACTTTATGGTGAGTCCAGGGGACGGGGTGGGGCCGCTGCCCTGCAGCGCCTGGGGTCTGGGCACACCTGGACTGTGTCCCCCTCCCAGGCCTTCTCTGCTTTCTTCTACGCTGTGGACTTCCTGCGGACCGTGATGGGGCTGCCCGTGGCAAGCCTGCAGCAGCTGGGGGCCGCCGTGGTCACTGTCTGCAACCAGACATGGAGTGAGGTGAGGCCTGCCCCCCTCTTCCAGGGCTTCGTGGGCTGGCCCCTCCTGCCTCCTGGTCATTCGTTTGCTCTACAGGTGGAGGGGCCCGGGCCTCTCGGAGAGCCCACTGCAGTGAGAGCCATACTGCTCGCTAGATTCGGAAGTGGCTGGGCCCTGGCAGGAAGGCCCGGGGGCCAGACCACAGGGGGCTGCAGAAACCTCCCTGAGGCCCGCCCCTCGGGAGGGAGGGTAACAGCCAGCTAAAGCCTCTGACAGTGGGGAGCAGGGGTGGGGGCGCAGACTGGTGGGGAGGAGCTGGAGGGCAAGCAGAAGGGCTCAGGACTTAACAGGTAGACTTGGCAGGGCCCAGGGGTCAGGGAGTGAGGACCTGAAGATGCCTTCCGGGATTCTGGCTTCTGCCACTAGCCGGACGCCGGTGCGGAGTAAAGCCAGATGGAGGGATTAGGGCCTGTGGAGCATGAGGTGCCCACCAGAGGCTCTGGGAGAAACACGTGTGTCTGTGGGTTCAGGTGGCCAAGAAAGCCCCTGTCCTCTCTATGTCCACTGACAGGCAGGCTGGGCTGTGGGGAGCAGGAGGCAACCCCAGGGGCTGGGGCTCAAGCCTGGAGCTTCTTCTGTCGCCCCGCCCACCACCATCACGTGCGCGGAGGTTGCCGGAGCCCTCCACTCCCTGGGTGGCCGTCCCTGCTCTCCCCTCCAAGGCACAGGAGCTGGAGGCCATCCTGAAGTCACATTTTTCTTCCCGGAGGAACAGCCCCTCCTGGTGGTGGCCCCCTCGGCCTCGGTCTTCCGGTCTTTCTATCCCTTTACCCCGTGTTGCCCATGTGAGGGGGGGGACGTGCAGCACGCCGCTGGCCACTCCAAGTTCTCCCACATGTGTCACAGCTGCAGGCTCTGGCGCCGGGGGAGGGGTCCCGCCTGGCTGACTACTGCGCCGGAGCCATGTTCGTGCAGCAGCTGCTGACCCGAGGCTACGGCTTCGACGAGCGCGCCTTCGGCGGGGTGACCTTCCAGAAGAAGGTGGGAGATGGCGGGCCGGGGCGGGGATGGGCGGGGCCTCCCGGGCTGCGCCGAGGCTGAGGCTGAGGCCGCGCCCCTCGCCCGCAGGCCGGGGACACCGCTGTCGGCTGGGCGCTCGGTTACATGCTGAACCTGACCAACCTGATCCCCGCCGACCCGCCGGGGCTGCGCAAGGGCACCGACTTCAGCTCCTGGGTGGTCCTCCTCCTGCTCTTCGTCGCCCTGCTTCTGGCCGCGCTGGTCCTGCTGCTGCGCAAGGCGCGCTCCACCAAGTCGCCGAGCGCCATCTAGGGACTGGCTGGGGGCAGCTGCCCCAGCCCCATATATCCCCATCCTTCACCCCACCCCACCCTCAACATCTCTGCCCCTCGAGCAGCCCCGAAACCGAGGCGGGGCTCCAGCGCGCGCGCCCACGCCCTCAGGGGCCGGGGAGGACGAAGGGGACCGAATCCAGCCCCTTCAGCCCCCTGCGGCCTTGGCTGCGGCTCCGGCCTCCTGCTCCTCCTCCTACTGGGGGTGTGCGCTTCAGACACCCCGCTGCCCGCAGCCCGCGACTGCAGTGCTGGCACCCCGGAAGTGGAAACTTTATTCGGATGATCAGGGCCCTCAGAGGCATCCCCCATCGGTCTTTGTCAGGGGGAGGGTATCAGAGCCCACAGGCTGGGAGCCGGCCCAGCGCTCACTTGTAAAATTTTGTAATAAAAAGTTTTTCCTAGAGCAGTAGAGGGAATTTCATGGGGGTGCGGCCCCCTTGCTGCTGCCTGCCCTCCCTCCCCACAGCTGTGTTGGATACGCAGGACCACTCCCGGTCCCCAGGGTGGGCTTGGGCTCTCCCAACTTCCTCTCTGGGTCCAGACCTGGGGCGGTGCAGACGCCACTCCCCTGCTCCACCATGGTGGTCTGGAGTAGTTGCAGGATGGCTGGCCTGAGAGTCCCTGAGTCCCTTGAGGCTTCTCTGGCTGGCGGAACCCCTGCAACACCCCTAGAGCTGCATCAGTGACCTAAGCCATCCTGGAGGCTGGTCCCTGGCCCAGAGTTGGCCTGGGGTAGGGGAGGGGGAAGCGGAGGTGGCAAGGAGGGGAAGTCGTGGTGGGCAGGGCAGGCAGGTGTCTAGGGTCCGGTCAGTGCTGGGAGAGACTGGGAAGGGGGCAAACCCTCAACAGGAGGTATTTGGGGGGATGTTGAGATGAGGACCAGGAGGGACGCTGGGGCCCCTTCACTCCCAGGGATGAGCCTTGTGCAGAGCCTGGCTCTAGAGCCAAGCTGCGCCGGGGGGACAACGTCCACCTCCAGCCTGGGTGCTTTTCTACATCCCCCCACCCCTCCCCAAACATCAGCTGGCCCCACCTACGGTCCCTGCAGCCCCTCCCCTAAGCGCTGTTCTCTCCGGCGCGGGGAGGCGTGGTCTTGGCTACATCTCCAGCTCGCCCCAACCGTTCTGGGAAGTGAGCTCACACACTATTTCTGTCTGGTCAGTGTGCTGTGGGGGAGGGTGGCGGTCCCGTTCTGCTCACCACCACCCCGCACTCCACCACCTCTGCCGGTGTGCGAGCCATTTCACTAACCCGAGGGCAGCCAGCCCTACCTTCTGAGTTCAGAGACACAAAGGACTGAGGGGCAGCACCGGGTTGGGGGGTTCATCCTTGTTCTCGCAAAGGCCTGAGCCAGAGGGAGGTTTCCAGGTGGGATGCGGTAGGTGTGCTCTCAGGAGGCGCCAGGTGGAGTGTAAGGGGGTGCGTCATAGCTGCTTTGTTGTCGTGGAGCCCCAGGCAGCTGAAAGGCTGTCACCTGGGGACCGTGGACAGCTCCCAGCTGACTCTCATCGACAGCTCCAGGCTCCTCTTGCCCCCTGGTGGCCCCACTTGAGAGCGACCGCCCATTTCAACTCGTTCTGTGCGCGTGTTTGCTTTTCCCCGTGTGTCTCTGAGAGCCCGCCGCATCTTTGGGCACACCTGTGCATCCCTGTGCACCTTTCCATCTGTGCGCCTCCGGTATCTCTGTGTTCCTGGGTGCTCGCACCTCTAGCCGCGGGCGGGTCCTCTGCTCCAGCGGGGTGGGGGTGGGGTGGAAGTTGGCAGCCCCGCAGGGAGGGACCCGAAGAAGCCCACTATCGGCCAGTCCCTAGCCGGATTTGTGGCGAACACAGAACGTCCCAGGCTGCAGAGGCCGGAGAGGTCGAGGCACCCCGAAGCCCGCTGTGGGGAAGGGTCGGTCCGAACTCAGGGGAGGGGGAGGGGCGCAGGC